ACCTTAAATAACGATGGATCGGTAGACACGAGATCATCGCTCGATACCAACTTATGGGTTTTGATAAGCAAGTATAGGACGGGGCATCTTGGTAAGTCAATTTTGAGATGAGAGATAACTGATGGTTTTAACCCAGCCGCTCTTTCCACTTTAACCCATTCGTTGTTTAACTTTCGGTATTGACTTTTAAATTCCTTCTCAGACGACTGACGATAAAGGGAAGCATCTTCAAGGTGCTTTTCCGTTATCTCAACGTCTAACTGATAAGAAATTACAACGAACTCTCCGCCCTTATCACTAACTGAAAGTTTTATGCTTTTCGATCTTATCAGCTCTCGTACCTCCCGCATACCACGTTTTTGTATTTCAGTGAAGTTGGAGCGGTATCTCTTAGCGCTATAGTGATTAAGGACTTCGAAAGTTTTATTCGCAAACATCCGAAATTTAACATCAACTTCATTATTGGGCTCTTGTTGTTTAAAGAACTTCGGAGGAAATGGTGCTATTGGTAGGCCCCCACTTGATGTTGTTCGCACCTATTTGGCGCTTCATCTTTAGCTTTTTTGCGGGGTCTGTCTTGAAGTTCATGTAAACTACACCCTACGCAAGGTTACCTTAGAAATTGGTTCAGATGGTGAGAAACTCGGTCCCAATTCTTATAACGAGGGCGCACCATCAGGGAGAGTCGTGCCTCCTAGCATGCTTAGCCTTGAATTTCTTTGCACATTATTTATCCTACTGCGACTCGCTTGGTCTTCGTTGGCGCTGTTTCTATATGCTCTTGGAGCCGTGTTATGCGATTTACTCAAAAGGTCTTCGAATTTTCTCCGCAAAATTGCTTTAGCATTAGACCTAATAGAATTGCAAATCAACACTGACCCACCCACTATTCTCATCCAGAGCCGGTCGTCCAAATACTGAGCACAATAGTTTTCCTTCTTCTCGCAATTCTTCCACTTAGCGAACATCTGGTTTTGTTTGCTTCGTAGACAGGTGCGCAGTACTTGCAATTCGATGTCCAGTACTCGGTGGTTATCCTCTGGCAGTCCGCACACTTCGTGTAGTCGTTTTCTTTTCATGAATTTCGGAACGACTTGGTGTTTTACGCAGCGGCGGAAAAAGCGAAAGAAAGCGAATAAAAAAGTGATGGCGTTCACACAGCAGTCATCCGAATTCGTATTATTAGTAGAAAGCAGTGCACATACCTTGCCTTAAGATGCCAGTCATGTATGATCGTCCTGGAAAAAAGGCAACTCTTAATGGAAACTGAAACTAACACGAAGAACTGAACTACTTTTGTGCTAAAAGGATGCTGAGATATAAGCAAAACTTGAATCTAAGGAGCGCTTCGTACACACGATTACCTGCGGAAACTCACAAACTGCAAACTGCATGACCAAGGCCTTGCTTCGTTTAATTCGCTGCTAGTTTTTTACACTCAGGGTGCAATGAACAAATACCCGTCAAAGAGAATGAACTGGGAAGAACAAATCGGCATTGAAGTCTATCAAGCTGAAGCTGCAGTCGAATTCATAATGTTTCAATTTCTATTTTCTGACTTACACATGAGCCTTCGGACAGAGTAGTCGCAGCTTCGGAGATGACTTGCGGCTTCAAGTTGTGCTCATATCTCAGCATCCTAATAGTTGCATTTCATGTAACACCTTGTTATGATAAAGCGACAGGTAATAAATAGAACTCAAAGCATTGTTTTTTATCACTTTCTCTCAGCAGGAGAACAATCTGTTTTAACAACACCTCAGTGACAAATCAGTGCATTTTCACTTCGTATCGAGGAATTGGTGCGCCACCACTTCCATTCTAAGGTTGGTCGGCACCCGTTACTTTAACCTTAATCTTGAGCTTTGGCTTAGGCTTAGACTTACATTGACCATTTATGGGATTTCAAACACGTCGTTTTTAATCGCAGTCTTAATCTTTTTTATTTACTGCCTATTCTTTTAACGGCAGGGTATTTTTCGAAATATAACTACTATAATGTTGAGACATTTGCAAAACTCCGGACCGCTGGTGTCTGCGCTGGGCAACGAACGCGTTATTGTCCCTTCCGGAGAGTAACGCGTTCACCACCACACTATGCGGATCATTCGTTCTGCCTGTCTCTCAGCTAGTTTTATCAATTTCTGCCATCAGCAATCACCCTTCAGCGGGATTGACTTGGCGAGTAGAAATCGCAATGAACCCAGTTAAGCTGAGGCTATAGGTATAGTCACAATCTTAACCTTTTTTATTTAGTCCTTATTCTTTTTAAGAGCAGGGTATTTTACGAAATATAAATGCCATAATGTTGAGGTATTTGCAAAACTCCGGACCCAGGCGTCTGCGGTGGGAAGCGAACGCGCTATTGTCCTTTCCGAGGAGTAACGCGCTCACCACCACACCATGCGGGTTATTCGTTTCGCCTGTCTCTCAGCTAGTTCTATCTAGCTATGCAAAAAGATCGATAAAACTAGTCGAGAGACAGGCGAAACGAAGGACCCGCATGGTGTGGTGGTGAGCGCGTTACTCCTCGGAAAGGACAATAGCGCGTTCGCTTCCCACCGCAGACACCTGCGGTCCGGTGTTTTGCAAATATCTCAGCATTATACGTCGTTTTTAATTACAGTGAGCTGTAAGTGATGTTATCTGATAGGCAATGATTAGGATTCTAAACCTCACTTACGTTTGAATCTAAGTGCAGGATAGGGCATAAGTTTGTGTTTGTTACGAATACCACTGGCAAAAGTATACTGAATAGTAATCGAGCAAATAAGCTGCCACCTTCACTTTCGTCTATGTTTCAAACGTTTTTTATCTGACAGGAATATTTCGTTCTCATGTAGTACAAACTTCAGCAGTAATATTGCAAGTGATCTTTTCAACAAGACAACTTGTCAAAGCTGATCGTAGACTGCATCTAATTCGCTCTAATCAATCGCACAGTTTACTAAGTAAAGGTGATGGTACTGGTCTTCCTTAAACGGGAAAGTTGAAGACGATGAGCAGTTAACGGTATAGATAAAATCTAGAACGTGGTGACGTATTGGTAAAATATGAATGCTGGACTGAACTTACCGCAATTATATATCGTTACGGTATCTTTCCTTCATGAACAACAACGGTGTCATTATTAAACTAACGTATGTGGGTAGAATCGTTTTTCTACTGTTGTAACAAGACAGTGTGGAATTTGGTGTGACCTTTAGAAAAGGTTGAACATCAATGTCTGAGAAGATCGTTTTCTACTGTTGCAAGTGCAGAACAAAGAGTGGATTCCATGACATGTTGTGTTGTACATATTGTTTTGATTCATTCAGTCGACATTATCTGTATCGAGGATTTGGTCCGACCGAACAGGTTACGACAAAGGCCATTTTTAACTAGTTGAGTGCTCTGTTCAGATGGGCACCTCACATTTAGTTTCAAGAGGTGAAGCATAAGTGTTGATACTAGTTTACTCTTTCGAGAAGTACAAGGCAAGTTGTTAGCTTAAAACTTGGTTGCAGGATAAAGTTGAGGCTGTGGACAACATCTTCATTCATCAGAATAGAGTAATTGGTATTGGAACATTACACTACGATGCTGTGTAGTAACTACATGTAGGAATTGCATCGAAAAGTCACCAACACTTTTGATGACATTCAATGGGTTAAAATCGTAAGAGCAACTATTAGTAGAAATTAAATGAAGGATCCCCATGGTGTGGTGTGAACGCTTTAGTCTCCGGAAAGGGTAATAGCGCGTTCGCTCCCCACAGCAGATACCTGCGGTCCGTAGTTTTGCAAATATCTCAACATCACTCTGGTTGCTTCCCGCATTATACCCTGCCGCGAAAAATTATAGTAGGCAGCAAATACAAAGTTACCATTAGTAATGGAGATATTTTTAAGCCCGAGTCAATAAAGCTGCTTCGCTTGTATCGCTATAACTCTTTCATTACCTAGTTTAGTAGTGGAAACAGCGGTGATGAGTGTTGTACAAGTTCACTAAGATTTATTTTTTATTATTTGTTTACCCGATGTTTTCAAATTTGGATTTCGTTTCAGGAACAGTAGACATTCGACGTGTGTTTTTGATGCTTGATTGTGTCAGCCTGTATAAACAATCAGAATATTCAACCAATATCTAAAGCACGTTGTTGGATCGTCTAGGAGCGTTTGTCGGGTTCCCACCTTCAGTTTAAATACACAAATCTCAAGTCGATGAAAAGTCCCATCCGCTGAACAAGGAATTTTAGGAAATAAAACCCAACGAGACGGAAGGAGACGCAAAACAAAGAAAACACCGACCGATGTTCAGACTTTTTTACAGATATCGTAGAAGGGAAATACGGTTTTCGAAGGCCTAGGAAAGGCAGGACGCAGCTGAATGAGACAGGGAGAAACGGAAACTATGTTGGCTGTAGCTCATGTACCTATATCTACTGCGAAGAAATGGAACCAGAAGCACTCACTTTGCTCTCTATCTTTTCTATTAAATTATTTCTTCCTTTTCTTTTCTATTTTGGTAAATTTTTCATACGTTCTATAGTGATTCAGGTATCTAGTTCCGATGAAGAACTGCTCTAGTATAACACACTCAATAATGTTTAATCTCGATTCCTGTCAACTTATTTATCCTTCACTGTTTACGTGCTAATGTAATAAATTTTTTCATGTGGATGAAATCATTCCTTTGAAAGATTATGAGTATATACGTGAAGAGTCTGCATCACCCACATACCAAAATCAATCCTAACAAAGATGAATTTGAACAGTCATTGTTCTTCTCACACGATACAAAAACAGTCACAACCAATATCCGTATATTCTACAGGTAGTAACAGAACTCAGCAAATGGAACAGCAATCTAGCGACACTGTAGAAGAGGATTTCTGCAGCTGTGATACTAACAACGATTACTTCATCTATGGCTGCACCTTGCAACAAATGAAAATTTGGTGAACAATAGCTAAGAGCCTTGTACTTTTCATCAATGGCTTTTCTAATCACAACTTAAAATCAAAAATAATCACCGGCTTTTAGATAACAACGTGAAATCCGAAAAAAAGACCGAAGAAACAAAACAAAATCACAATCATCTATTTGTTTCGGAAAAAAATACCTGATGTTAGTCCAGTGATTTCAGTCCTTATATATATAAGTCATGCTTTTTACAAGCGAACCTTGTAAGACGTTAGTGTGATGCTCGAACAACCACAACACAAACCCCCATACGACAGCGGCAAAAAGTGGAAAAACACGATATTCTGAAATCACACGAAGAAAAGCGCCGCCACCGATTAATACTCGTACTTTGTGTAAAGCACTCATCGTGCTTGATGTACACGACACATGCGAGGCGGCATTTAGCGACTCTGCCGCTTAGGCAGATGTCTACTTTTCAGCTTTTGTGGAGCTGCTGGCTTTCTTACAGTAAAGAGTAAGTTTTTGATAAATAGAGAGCTTCAGGCATTTGGAAGACGAACAAGATCTTAGAAAAGACTTTGCTTCATCGTTCTATGGGCATGAGTGGTATTATACTATTATGCTACATTGGTCCACCGCGCAGAAAGATAGCTGTCAAAACTTGGAAGCGTTTTCAAATTATGCTTGTTCTGTCCCTATAGCTTCATGCGTTCACATTTCACAGAATGACTTCGATTCTTTCTAGCAATTAGAATTGAAGTAAAGGATAAAGCTGTCGGCGTTTATCAATCCGTAAGGGATGCGTCATGCATTCGACTTCATTAAGCATCGTTTGGAGGTGATTGAATGCATATCTGACCTTTACAATGACCCGTGGTGGCCTACCGATGTATCGAGCCAGTGTTGTTATTCTCCCAGACAAGTCTGGCACCAATTTGGCGACCCTGGAGGGATGGAAGGCTTGGTGGACCATGGGCGTGGGGATCGATTCCACGTGTGTGGCTCAGTGCTACCTCCAACCACTGCGCCGCACGTACCCTAGATCGCGTTATTGCGATCTGATATTAAATGGCAGTCAATTACCAGCCAAATTATTACCAGTCAAAGAACTCATCCGAAAAGAGCCTTCTGGATATTTCTAAGTTACAGAGTAGTGCATTCTCCACCGACGCATTTATAACATAGGCTACTGCTCGACTAGAAGAACTGTTGGGAACGAGTTTTGAGCGCCAAAATAAACCAACAGGAAAAGAATGACCCATATAGAAGTTATACCGGCCGGCTGTGCAGAGTTACGCGCATGGACATATATTCCCTTATTGTCCGTTATGCGTTGAAGATACCAACAAAAGCTCTTAACTTTTAAAGAAAGAAAAACGACCACTTGCAATCAACACAAGTGCAAGAGCGTACTTGGTCGTGGTATGAAGTCGTGGTGAACTGCGAGCTTAGCAAGACCTACTACGATTCTCGACAGGAGGTACAAAACAATCTGAAACGATTACGTAGATATGAAATCATAGTGTTTAATTTGTTATTAACTGCCGCTTCTTTTTCTATGCCACGGCATTCTGCGAAATACAGCCAAAGGACGCTGAGATATGAGCAAAACTCGGGACTTTAGTTGAGCATCGCATACGCGGCTCCTTTTTGGAGGAACACGTGATATCCACTACACCAACCGAGTTCTTCCTTTGACTTTCTCTCTGTCAGTTTTTTTACTCTAATAGTGCTATCGTGATTTCGAATGCAGATTCAGTTTAACTGGACTTATGCTTACTTCTGCTCCTCATGTCATTCAGGCTGACTGTTGGTTGCAGATATGAAATCATTTCCTTTCTTCTATATTTCAATAAATATACATGGATATTCCGTTCAATTTGCTCACGAACGAATGCAAACATCTGCTTCAAACTGATTTTTATTGCTTGACCGGACTAAAACATGGAGCCTTTTGCGTTGTTTCAAGCGAGTGCACTGTTACTGTAGAGCTCCACTCAGGACCAGCGGTGTAACTATTTCTTGTAGAAACACTATCTTGTAAGTTTAAAAATTGGTACTATCTCACCTGCATGTTCACCCCATTATTTTCACCAAAGACCATGTATCCCACGATAAACGCAGAAATGAAAGAATGCCATTCATAAGTTTTTCCTGAAAAAAAGTGAAGTCGAAAGACGGCAGTTTTCATGAGGTATCGTAAATCCATTTTCTTTTCGTCTTTAGGTGCTTCAGACTTTAAAGGATCTTTAAATGAATATGTTTGAATAATATGCTGTTTCCAGAAAGCAGAACATTTGCTTGTTTCAAAATGATATAACAATTGATCTAAACCGATTTAGGTTCTATGGAGAGAAATTTCAACAGGATTAGATTTTGATGCTGGAATTCAATCGATTTAGTTGCTAAAGACAGAATTTCATTCATGACCCGTTTTCTCACAGCGTTTGCGTCACGGTACTTTCTTTATTCGTTTCTTTCACTGACTTGCAGTCAACGGAGATGGTCGTGTTCGTGTGCTGATTTGACTTACAGAATTTCGTGTCTTCTATCGCCATCGCGATGGAGTATACCGGGCAAGTGTCATCTATCTTGGAACCTCAAGAAAATCGTGCTAGAACGTCCTTATGTTTCACCATTGGAAGTCGCCCTCTTCTTTGGCTTCCAGAGCAGTTTGCCGCTGTATGACTTCGACTCTTTCTGGAACGCAGAGATCTTGCACCCATATGATTTGGATTCTCTTCGAAAGGGGGAGAATCCTGTGAACGACTGCTCAGAGTAGGTATAACAAGGTCCAAATCAAGATTATTCATAAAAATTCGTAAATTGACGATACCAGGATCTGCCAAAATAGCAGGAAGCTTCCAAACAATGAATTTTTTAAGGTTTTCACGATCGCGATCATTTCTGTGTGTCGGGTTCAACGGATCGCATGTCACTGTAACGCAAACGAATTGCGCATTGAAGCCAGGATGTACTGCCAGTGAGATCTGTCAAGAGGCACGGCGTACCGGTTGTTTCAATGCTCTTCGTTCCCGGTCGGCTCACATTTTTCTTTGTCTCTCCTCGTTCTTCGTGTCTTCTATGTTCTACTGTATGTGTATTCTTGGACACGCTTTGTGTATAGTCTAGTTCTTGTGTTTGATGAAGAAAAAATCGTCCATTTTCGAACCATCGTGTTATCAGCTTCTCCCATTTGTATGTTAATTGAAGTGTATTTCTTCGCCCCTTCGTGTTTTTCTTATTCCCTGATTCCATTCCACCGTCGAAAACGGCCAACAGCACTGACCCATGAACCGATCTCAGTATAAAATATGCTTTCATCAAGCCATCAAATGACTACAAAATATCTAGTAAAAAATCTTTGCTTGACGAAATAGGTCAGAAAAAAAGCGTGCACGTCGAAATTAAGAGGACGGTCTGATGAGCCGATCAGCACATACATCGAAATCAATTCAAACGGTCATGAAATGTTAATCTCTCGGTCAATATGGCGAGTTTTCATACCTACCAACTTCATATTTGACAAGAGCGAAGCAATATTGAGATATTTTCTTTTCACCATCTTCGTGTTAGCTTAATAACCGGAAAACGTATTTAGGTAGTATCCAGTTGTTTCGACATTACCTTCTATTCGCCTTAAGAATCCATGAAGAAGCTTGTAGCTGAACGCAAATTTTGCCAGATTCATTGCATGTATCCGTGTCAGTTGCAAAATCGTGCGAATCTTCTCGGTCGCTCTGGAAATCATCCATGAATGTTTCTCAAATCTCCGGCTTCTTTCTTCTCCTTTCATGTTTTACGTCACATAAAATTTATTTATGTAAATTATAACTATGTAGTAAGTAGAAAAAATCTACAAAAGTGGAAAAAACAATTACAGAAAGGATTACTAAATAAGTGAAAAAGAAGGGATATTTCACTATGTAAAACCCATTTTCTTCCCATTTTTTGCTCTATCTCAGAGGATCGTTATATCAGTTAAGAAACTATGAACTCTATCATCCGGAAAGGGACATAGCGTTAGAAGGACTAGTAAATTTATGTTTAGCAAAATCTGTCAACATTTCATGAACAGAGCAGAACCACTCGATATAGTGTATACCACCACGATTCATCAGAAACAACAAAATTCCTTTTACAACGAGTCACAAAAAAGTATTTTGCAATATTCTAAAATCCTTTTAGTTGTTTTTTAAAAGTCAAATTTACATGACCTGGGATGGCGTGTAAGTTAAGATGAAGCAGCAGCGATAGATATTCCGAAACTGGAGACCGTTTGTGACTGAAGGGATGGCCAGTTTTCGTGGTCATGTAATGCACTATAAGCCATTTTCCGATAGCTCATATAGTCACACTAGTAGCAATTTTGATAGTGCGTATGTGGGACATTGCATTCCAGCTGCTCAAAAACGTCAAAGTAGAGCTTCTTTTCAATGTTACATCACCACAATGGTTACATGCTAGGTCCGTATAATGACTCTGAAAGACGACAAAAAATTTTAGTATGCTATTCGCGACCCATAGAATTGTCACTAGTCCGTTTAAGTATACAGGATGGAATGGCCTAGTGTGTGATAGTTATCGTGATCATTTGTGTGTCAACGAGATAGTGTGAAATGGAAACATTATTCAAAAGAAGTAGATGAATGAGAAGCCAGTCGTTGTCTTTTTAAAGGTTACTGAGCTATTGACACCTTTGGTAAGAAAGAAGAACACTGATTCCGTTTTTGTTTGTTGGTTCCCGTCTTTAGTTAGTTAATTATAGGAAACGGACAAAATAATAACAGGCAATAAAGGTTCTGCAAAAATTACATTGTTTTAGGTGAACAATTTAGGAAAGAGGGCATAGTTCAGTTATTCCAGTGGAACGAAAAGGTTTAGGCATAAAACAAAAATATAAGAATAGAAGCATAGTGGGATAAACGTGGAGAGTGGGAGCAAAACCTTACTGAGAAGAAGAAGCCTTTTTTTGGAGCACTTCTTTTTTAGGATACAAAAACAACAAAAAGGTCGTTTTTCAGAATCAGAAAGGTTTTTCTACGAAGTATACTCACGTGCCTTCACCGAACAGGACCACCGTGACGAGGGCATGCGGGGCGCGAATCCTCATTCCATACCTGTGCACATAGAACGGTTTAGTTTAGAAAAGTTATCAAATCTTTTTTGTTTTGCAATTTTCGGGACATTTCGTAAATACGTTCAACTTACATCAGTCCATTTCGAAAACCTTTGATAGCTGCGAGCAGATTCATGTGGTTGTCGAGCGCCAATAAGCACTCATTTCCCAATCGTTCACATTTTTCCACCAAAGGAGCCAAATTTGTGATCATTCTAGATTCATGAGGCATAGTAGTCATGATCACAAAAACATGCACATATTGTAGGAATAGGAACAATTCTCGTGGACGTGTACGGTGCAATAAGGGAATCCTACGATGAGCATGGTCTTTGGCTCGATTCTACACGCTGAACTAACGAGACCGCGTATCTCTAAAGATTGGAAAATTTGTAGCATACTTGTCTGAAATGACAAAAACACTGATTTGATACGTTGGCAGACCATATAAATAATTGTATAAGCCAGATATGCTCTCGCTCTCCTCTACTATGCTACGAGTCGAGTAGAATGCGTGCCTCCGACATTCATCAACACCGAACATTTTATTGTACTTGTCATTACTGAAGAACAATTTTCATAACTCCTGCGCAAATTTTTTGGAAGGAAATCGCTTCCAAAGAAGAAAAAGTGGTTTTTCTTCAACTGAAATATTTTTTGTTAAAGTCATATTAACAAACATAAAAGCATTCTAGTCAAATTGGACCCTTGTTATCTTAATCGTTATGTTATCTAAATAATAATCTCAAAAGAGAGAGCGAAAGATAACACACAAAACAAAATCGACTCTAACTAAATTTTTACCGTAATTCACCAATTTACAAGGAATTTCTAGCCGACTTTAACTTTTAGAAGAGAAACTTGTTTTCCTTTTTATAAAACTCGTCTTTCATATAAACCGTACAGATCGCAGAACTTCTCGCATTCGATTCGTTCCCTCGCGTCCATTATCCACAATGGCCTTCAAATATTTTGGATGTGGGCTCGGCTGTTGCTTGACGAATTCCCTTTCGTCATGAATGTCTTTAAGTACTGTTACAGTCTTTCGAGTCCCTGCATTGCTGTATTAGAGCTTAACCACTCAAATTGCAGGGAAGAACTTTCCGCAAACAACTGTGGTACCAATGTTCTCAACTCGGAGAGATGAGTGCCTTGGTGAGACCTGTACGAAGCCGAAACAGAACCGTTCTAGTGACAATTTGCATCACTACTACTTTGCTATCAGTCCCTAAGAAACAAAGTAAAGAAGAAAAGTAACGGAACCCAGATGAGTAGAAACTATTAGAGCAAAAGTTATGCTTTTACTTCTACACCATGGACTTTACAAGGATCAGCGGCAAGATATAAAACGATTATCCTTTTTCATTTATCACATGAGATCTATGTTTTCAAGCAGAAGAATAGAGATTACAATGATAAAAATACAAGTTGACAGCCATGACAATAACGGGAAATAGTGACGACAATAATAGTAGCACAACATAGTGAATTAGGCGCTCTAAGGCAACGAAGAGTTGCAGGAGTTTGTGACACCATTATTGATCGATGAGGTTATTTCAACGGCGTTAATAGGCCGAGTGATAACATACTGGGTCAGAATGACAGGAACAAACGGAGCCAGCAATTGATTACACCACTTTTTAAGGTTTTACGTTATGTAGGCAGAGACACATGCATATATACACATACACAGATACACATATACATACATACATACGTAAATATATGTATACATCAATACGTAAATACATATATACACACGTACACTCATGCATGCATACATATACCACATGGATTCCTTCACAGTCCTTAGTCACCTATATAGACATTTACGCGAATGGTGTCTACATGTCGTTCGGCATCAGCACTTTTGCTGTTTCTTTGCTGCCTTGCCACTTTCGTCCATGGAGGTGGTTCGATTAAAGTCAGAGCTAAGACGTGGATTGGAGGAGAACGTTATGGAGAGAATGGAGCCCGCGCTTTAATTTTTGATGGACTGAATCAATAACCAATTTCCATCTCACATTCCTCCTAATATCATGATATTCCGAAATGCTGTAGGTATGTATGGAAAAATAACTGCTTGTTTCGCCTTTCCGATAGTGAAGCACTGTCTTAATTCATATTCTACTCTGCAGCGAAAAGAAAAAAATCACATTAGTCTCTGAAACTTAAGGATATCCATAAAAGTACCAGCTAGAGATCATATATAACTATTTATTACATACCTTATCAGCACTGTTTGTGTTACCAGTGAAATTCTTTCACAGTTATGACGTTTAAATAGTTAGACTGCTTGTGGTTATTGTGTTTGTTCCGTGGTTCGTAATAACGATGCAAGTAGTAAATTTTTACTAGGAAATTTAATTGTGGAAGCCCATGAAGGCAGAAGCACTACCATTGTTTTGACACCATTATCATCGGCACTAAGTTCAGCGCTATGACTTCAACCCTAAGCAGTCACTTCAAAACGTTGAAGAAACAGGTTCCTTCTAGTTGTTGTGAAATAAAAACAGTTGTAACCTCGACAGTTTAGTTTTTGTGATGCTGAGACATTTGCAAAAATCTGGACCGCAGGTTTCTGCTACGGGGAACGGACTGTTATCCTTTCCAGGAGCTAACACGTTCACCACCACACCGTTCGGGTCTTTCGTTTCGCTTGTCTCTCAGCTAGTGTTCTATCTAGTTTAACTTTTATTCACTGCATACCTTTTTCATGGCAAGGTATAATGAGAATTCAACAATAAGATTGCTGAGATATGAGCAAAATTCGGAACCACGGTGCGGTTTCAAAACCGCAATTACCTTTTCCACGGTCTGCCGTGCTATCCACACTGAAAGCAGTTGTGCTCCTACTAGGGCATAAATGTGACCGGATTTATCAAACTGGTTGAAAGAAAAACTTGCTAGTTTAAAGTGGTCACTTTCTAGTTCACAGAAAGCAACTAGGTTAAACTAAATTTAACTGATTTGGGCTTCATCAAATCTAAGTAAATCCAATTCGTCGAAACTGTGAAGAAAGCAGATCTTCCTGCTGAAGTTGTTAAATTGCATAGATTTAGAAGAAACTGGAAAGCCTTTCTTTTGCGAATAATTATGCTCTCAACTGATATATTCATGGGCGTTGTGGAAATAATTTTGCATCTTTTCATATTACAGCATTATCAGAAATACGGCAATCATTCTTAAACAGCAGAAAATGATTAGTTCGTACTATTAAAGTGAAATTCAGTTAACTCCTGAAACGGAAACAAGTGATACATCTTTCATCGATTAATTACTGAAATGAGGCAGGTACAGTAAACTTCATGTGCCAAGTGTGTTAAAAGATATCCTGATTTTGTAGGGAAGGTAGAAAAGAAAATGCCGTATTCTTATAGTTTTAATTATTACGCGGCGTTTTTCTTCTGCTCTTAATGAGACCAAACAATGAGACCTTTATCCCAGATGAGTTCTATCGAACAGCACCATCAGCGACCAGCCGTCAACAGGATTGTTCCAGGGAGCCCGAATCGACAACGAACCCAGTTAAGCTGAGGCTGTAGTTGAATTCACAATGTTTACGTTTTATTTTTTGCCTTCTATAATTTTTATGGCAAGGTATTACGTGTGATAAAACCACAATGACGCTGAGTTATTTGCAAAAATCCAGACCGCAGGTGTGTGCGGTGGGGAACGAACGCTCTATTATTCTCTCCGAGGTCTAACGCGTTCACCACCACAGCTTGCAGGTCCTTCGTTTCGCCTGACTCTCTGCTAGTTCTTTCGATTGCTGATGGCGCTGATCGATAGAACTAGCTGAGAGGCAGGCGAAACGAAGAACTCACATGGTGTGGTGGCGAACGCGTTAGTCCCCAGAAAGGGTAATAGCGTGTTCGTTCCCCACAGCAGACACCTGTGGTCTAAAGTTTTGCAAATATTCCAGCATTATTGTGGTTGTATCACACGTAATACCCTGCCATTAATACGTGTAATAGGCGGTAAATAAGAAAGTTGGCAGAATGAGGCTTTTTTCTTCACAAAAGACGAAGAATAGACAGTCTACGTAAAGATTTCGCTCCGGGCAATCATTTGATGAGCTCACAAATAGCTCTGTTATAAACTGAAAAGTGCGAAGATTCAGCAATAAACTTGGATATTTTTCACCATTTATGCGTAACGTCGTACGGATAAGAAAAACATTGATTGCCTCACAGTTCAATGAACTACTGGTAGCTCTTCTGATAGAATGCCGAATCCAAGAAAGGCAAGATTTTACAAGCAAAGTCCAAAACAAAGAATACAACAGTTTCAAAAGCCACGTTGCTATTAGAATGCTTGTAGTGTACTGGTGAGATGTTCCCGTGCTGTCGATAGTCGCTGGTTCGAATCAAGGAGTAATCAAGCCTCTCATCTTTCAATGGTCCGCCACTTGGTATTAGATTTGTGTGGAGGATAAGAACAATGATGTGACGTGTCAGTTGGCTAGACATGCGATCCTTAACTGTTTCGAGTTTCACAGCGTGCCAACACTATTGTTACCTTCTTCAAAAATTGCAATGAAGTGACCACTCGAGTACATTTATACAGTAATTCAGTCATGCATTCGACTCCAATCAGCATTCTAGAAGTTATTTAGCACATATCTGGTTTATAAAATAACTTATGAAAGACCAGTAATGTATGAAACTAGTGCTGCTATCCTGCTACCAATTTGTTGTTCTCCTTGTGGAATGGATGGCTCGGTGAATCCGTGGCGCACGGTCGAACCGAAGATAACGAGTGTATTACAGGACACCTCCTATCACTATGCTACGCGCCCTATTTTTGTTCATAATACATGTAATTTTTTTCCCATTAATGCTTTCAGTCGCGTAATCATTTTTTTTTCTGAGCTCTTAGCAGTATTTCCAGGCAATCCCTCTCCGAACCACCAGATTTTCCACCGGATAGCACCGCTTGAGTAAAATAGTTGGCTCAGAGAAAGTCAAAGCAAGGGCCTCAATAGGTGTAGTGGATCGTATATGATTCCTTGGTAAGGGTAGTCACAGGTTCGAAGCCATCTGAGGTTCCGAGTCTTGCTCATACCTCAACATTCTTGCGCATGTACTTCACAAAACATTAATTCTTCATAATGAGGTTCAATAAAATTCGGAATGTGATGCCTGCTTCGATGTATGGAAGCCGATAACAGAAATTTGATCAGAAGCCACCCTGGTTTTTTTCATGATGACA